AGTTATGTATGCTCATTCGGTACTGATGTTGTGCTCATTTTTGAATTGTTCTATCAATGCATATTTCAAAAGTATCAAATTACATTAGACTCGCTTATTGAAATTAATATAAATTTATAGATATAATTTAATAAGTTTTTATAAAAGCAAAAATAAGAAAAAGAAAAAAAGAAGAAGATATGAAGCATGAATCATGATACTCATTGTTAGTCTCTTAAATACTCAATAAAATAGGTCTGATGCTTATTAAAAATACAATATTGCTCATTTAGCGGAAGTCGTGATTTTTCGCTTAAATTACAGAAATGCCACCGAATTTTTTTTGACATATATTAGTCATTGGGCCGTCTTTCTTACTTGGACCGGGTGTACGTACACCCGGATGCACCGTATACGAACTACAACAAAGGGGTATGAGTCATCACAAGAGAGAGAAGATGACTCTTGTATGGTCCATGCAATAATAGGAGTAATATCACTTGATACGTAAATATGTAAATATGCTAATTAATAAAATAATAAAATAGAACATGCTGTAATACTCCCCCTCAAGGTGGAGTGTGAAGATTCCGAACACCCAACTTGCTTCGAAGAAATTGAAATCGGTCAGTGCCCAAGGCTTTTGTGAATATATGAGCAACTTGATTGGTTGTGGAGATGGATAGTGGTTGAATCTCATTAGTGACAACTCTTTCTCGGAAAAAATAACAGTCTATCTCAACATGTTTAGTACGTTCATGGAAAACTGGATTAAGCGCAATATGTCGAGCAACTTGATTATCACAATAAAGTGATGCGGGACCTTCTTGAGGAACTAGAAAATCCTGAAGTAACCATCGCAACCACAAAATCTCGCTGACTGTTACCGCCATAGCACGGTATTCTGCTTCCGCAGAAGATCGAGATACAACAGATTGTTTCTTTGTCCGCCAAGAAACAGGTGAGTTACCAAGGGTGATGAAGTAACCGGTACTAGATCTGCGAGTAAAAGAGCAACCTGCCCAATCTGCATCGCAATAACCTCGAAGCGTGAGGTCAGATCCTGATGATAGAAAGATTCCTTGACCCGGTGTTTCTTTCAGACACCACAGAACACGTGTTGCCGCATCAAGGTGTGTTTGACGTGGGTGGCTGAGAAATTGACTGAGTTGACTAACAGAATAAACAATATCGGGACGAGTCACTGTGAGGTATAACAAGCGCACGATGAGACACCGGTAAGAAGATGCATCCACCGGAGGGCTATCATCATCTGGACGGAGTTTTAAATTTTGCTCCATGGGAAACTGAGAAGGACGTCCAGCGAGCATACCACTTTCTTCAAGGATATCAAGGGTGTACTTACGCTGACTCAAGAAAAAACCGTCGGGAGAGCGAGCGACTTCAATGCAGAGGAAATATTTCAGCTTTCCCAAATCTTTAATACTAAACTCAGCGTTTAAGTACTCTTTGACTCTACCAATGTGGGTGATGTCATTTCCTGCTAGAATTATGTCATCGACGTAGATGAGAGCAAACGTGGAAATTGATCCTTGTTGGAAGATAAATAGTGAATGATCAGCTTGTGATTGACGGAAACCAATTTTAATGAGAGCTTGAGTGAATTTATGATACCAATTACGAGATGCTTGGCGTAACCCATAAAGTGATATCAGTAATTTGCAAACGCGAGTGTCACAAGCCTTCTTAAAACCTTGGGGAATACGCATGTAAACATCTTCATAAAGATCTCCGTGAAGAAAGACATTGTTTACGTCCAATTGATGTACTGTCCACTGACGTTTGGCAGCAACTGCTAGTATGCACCTTACAGTAACAAGTTTGGCGACGGGGGCAAAAGTCTCATGAAAATCAATTCCCTCAACTTGTGTATATCCTTTGCAAAAACACGGTATCTATAACTCGCGAGACGTGACTTTTTATCGCGAGACGACCCATTTAATTCCCTCAACAAGCTTTATAGCCTTTTGACCATGCGGATAACCCATAAATATGCAAGGGCTCCCCTTTTCACTGAATTTATCTTTTTTTATTGTTGTGTGCATATACCAAACACCCGAACACTCTCAAGTGCTCATAGTTAGGCACTTTCCCAAATAACATTTCAAAAGGACTCTTGTTTTGAATGATGGGCGAAGGAAGCCTATTAATAATGTAAACAGTAGTCAAAATGCATTCTCCCCAAAAATTAATAGGCAATCCAGACTGAAAACGTAATGCCCTTGCTACTTCCAATATGTGTCTGTGTTTACGCTCTACAACTCCAATTTGTTGAGGTGTGTCTGTGTGCATGATGTTTCCAATAATATCCCAGCGCGTCCATAATAATCAGATAGAATGTTGGTTTGAAATTCTACACCATTATTTGCTCGTATTCTTTTAACCTTTTGTTCAAATTGGGTATCAACCATGTTGCAAAATTGAATTAAAAGCTGAGCAACTTCAGATTTATTTTTCATTAAATAAACCCATACTCCCCTAGAAATATCATGCTCCGGAGGTTGAATCACATCTATAAGTTCCCAAATGTTGCAATGTATCAGTTCAAAACAACGAGTTGTCTTAATCCCACTTTTGGGAAAGGGTAACCTGGTCTGCTTAGCACGAATACAGGAATCACAAATATTATTGTTCCGTCGAAAACCTTTGAGGGAATTAATGTGATATATCTTTCCATCGGATGCATGTCCCAAACGTTGATGCCATAAATCAGAGGTAATAGACACTGACATTGCCACCCCATCATTCCTTGGAGATTCCAGATAGTAGAGACCATCATGAAATTTACCCACGGTAATAATTTTCCTCGTGGATAAATCCTGTAAAATGCAGAAGTCTGAGAAAAATATTAGTGTACAGTTTAGGTTGCTTGTTAGGCGACTGACTGATAGTAGGTTGCACTGAAATTCCAGAATGTATAGAACACGCTTAAGATGAAGCCCATTGGGTAAGTATAAACTACCAACGACATGAACTGAAATTGATTCGCCGTTAGGGATTCTGACCGATGGTTGTGAGGTGTGATTCATGATATCAAAAAGGTTAATATCACTACAAATGATATGTTCACTAGCTTCGGAATCAATTATCCAAGGACGGGCATGTGGCAATGTATATGCCATATTCACTTGGGCTCCAAAAGAAAAAGATACTATTGTCACCTGATAAATGTTGACGGTTGAACGATCAACCTCCATAATCTTTTATTATACAAAAGCATGAGGAAAAAGGAACAGTGTTCCCGCCCAAAGTTTTGGGTCAAATATGGGTCGGGTAAACAGTGATGGATCTTGGTGGAGTGTTGGGCAGAAGGACAACTCATTTAATGTTACATTGATGAGTACAGCTCATTTAATACTTTTAAGTCGGTTCAAGAGAATAGATTACAGTTGATTGGACTGCTTGGTACTTAATTTGAAATTTTAAATATGTAGCGTGTAACACACTCACATATACAACGGACAAATGAATTGTTCATTGAATAATAAGAGCTATTGAGCTGGCATGTAAATAAACGATTTTATATAGACATAAAAGAAAATACTACTTTGTATTCCGTATCTATTATGCAATTAATGCAGTGCAAAAGAAATTCAACTTTTGACTTTTCAGACTTGGTGGCTCAATGCTGAGAATCTTTTGCCTGCAAATATAAAAAACACACAGCAGTGGTTAATTTATTGTTAATGCAATAAAGAGGACAATTTTAATAATAAAAAAGGGCATGTGTCATTTAATGTTTGTACTACAAAGTCTAAATTAAAGATTGATGAGTACAAATTGTCCATTGGTTAAAAAACATTTGCTTCCTTGAGCCAGTATATATACCCATTCGATGGGTTGCAAACCATCACTACTTTAGGAGTGGGGAGTATGGGAGAAACAAGAAGTTGAAAAGAGGTAAATTATGTGCTTGAAACTCTTCTCAAAATTTATTCAAATAAGAACAAGAATTTTACTCCGTATATTTTTTTTATAGTATTCATCTCAGGTTAACAATCATTCAAAATATCAGAAATGGTGTATTGATGGTACAATGAGCAATTACAAATATCCAGCTTATTGGTAAGACTCAATCTCGAATTATTTTCTAGCATTCCTATTCTGTTGTATGCTTTTCTAACAGTTGGATAAACACATATCTTTGGCAGGATTGTGAGAAAATGTGTTTCTCAAACACATAACGTCAATGGCAACAATAAGGTGTAAATCTGATCTCACAACTTGACTGGATTGGCATCTTAGGGGAAAGGCTGCAACTTATTGGAAATATGCACATAAAGGGTTTATGCAATTTAAGAAAGTTTTGTCAATTCAAAAAAGTCATGCATTCCAATTCAACAGTTTAAAATGTCAAGTATAAAAAAGTTAGATTAAGCAGAGTTTACCAAACTTGAATCATTCAAATAATATTTCATTTGAAACATGAAAAATTGCATTACAGACCATGTATGACCACCTGCAGACAAGATCTTGGAGTTATTGAACTTTAAATTTAAGATGTCCACAAAAATAAATAGGAACGTATTACATACTTTGTACTGAACTCTTTGGAAGAAAAAATTACTTACACATTACAAATGGTTATAGTACATACTCCGTATGTTATTTTTTACCTTTCGCCATCTTCTAAATTGTCGTAACCTTTGCCCCGAAGATATGTAAATATACAGTACAGATTTTAATAGTATTCAGTATAAGCACTATATTGAACAAACCATCATCCCTTAAATATACATTAAAGGTGTAATAATACTTTGGGTATATCTATATATTAAAATTTAAATTTATCTTAGAAATTCAAGACTTTTGTGTTTGAGTATGCATAACCCACATTGACCTAAGCTAAGTCAATATGTCCAAGATGAATACATAAGAACACCCAATTAGTTAAAAGAAATTTAATATTTTATATATTTTGAAAACAACAATTGTTACATAAAATCTTTTTTTAAACTGAAGTAAAACATGTCACAAAAGCGACAATGAATGGAGTTTGAAATAATATTGGATTTAAAGTCTACGTTCTCTTTTTTTTTGGATGAACAGTAAGTATAAATTGAAGTAACCATCCAAAGAGTTTAAACCGTACAAGCAAAAAGGTGGTCAAAATTTTAGGCTATCCAAAGATTGGATAACCCATCACCTCCAAAAACAAAACCAGAGAGGCTGGTTAGCACTCTATGCAAAGCCGATCACAAAAAACAAGGTGATGGGCTGGTGAACGTCAAAAAACCACCAATTCATGTGAATAGATGCTATACAAAACTTTATAGACAATATACTTGATCCGAGCAAAAACGTCTTCAACTTTGGGGGAAGTACCATCAAACTTGATGGCATTTCTAGTCCTCCAAATGTGATAAACCGAGAAGCAAAATGCAATCCTTGTCGCTTTAGCTTTAATGGTGGCTCCACTTCTCTCCTTCTTAATCCATTTGACCGAGCTTGAAAGTGTGCCCATAAGCCTCGGCATGTCTATCCAATTCTTCACCAAGCTCCAAATTTTTCCTGAAAAAGGGCATTCAAAGTATAGGTGTGAAGCCGTTTCCGGCCCACCCTTGCACATAACACAAATGTTAACTACATCTAATCTATGAAGATTATCACATGTAGCTAACCTATTCCGGAATGTCAACCAAGTAGTAAAGGAAAATTTAGGGGGAATATAGTCTTTCCAAATAAAGGACATCCACCTACGGGTAGAGGCCTTAATTCTAAGTAAATCATAGACTTTTGAGGATACAAGTTTACCATTAGCTTGAAAGGAGTTCAAACAGCGAATGGTGTCAGCCACATCCTCGAATTTGGAGATGATCTCATCACGTACCATGGCAAATTTCTTCATTAATTGTGAATCCCTATGGTGTGGGACAAAATCCCACACACTTCGGCCATTAAGATACACACTATGAACCCACTTAACCCATAGAGTATCCTTTTTAAGATGAATGTCCCAAAAACTTTTAGCAAGCAAAGCTGAATTCCAGATTTTGGTATCATGTATTCCAAGGCCACCCTCATGTTTAGGGAGACATACATCAGCCCAAGATACTCTAGAGTATTTACAACCCCATAGGAAGATACGGCACATAGCTGTTATTCTATCAAGTATTACCTTCGGGATAGGAAACATTTGTAACCAAAAAGAGTGCACACCCTGTATAACGGCTTTAATGAGTTCAACTCTACCAGCATAGGAGAGGGTCTTGAGATTCCATGCGCTAATATAGGTGGAAATGGACTCTAATAGTGGGGCAAAGTGTGTCACAGATATCTTAAGGGGAGCAAGAGGAACCCCAAGATATTTAACAGGAAAAGATCCTGCTTTAAAATCCACCAAACTCAAGATGTTATCAAGCTCATATATAGCCATTCCCCCTAAGAAGATGTTGGATTTATCATAATTGACCCGAAGGCCAGATATGTTACCAAACTCTTCTAAGGAGTCAATGAGAATTTTAATAGATGGATAGTCACCTCTCGAAAAAAGCATCAAGTCATCAGCATAAGCAATATGTGAGATTTTCAAACTGCCACACTTAGGATGGAATTTGAAAGGAGCTTCACAGGTTTTCACATTCAATAATCTAGACAAATATTCCAAACAAAGAGCAAATAAAAGAGGGGACATAGGATCACCTTGTCTAAGGCCCCTTTTACCAATAAAATGCCCATGAAGAACCCTATTTATAGAAATAGAATAAGAAGGTGTGGTAACACACTCCATGATCCAATGAATAAACTTGCAAGGAAAGCCAATATGTAAAAGCATGTTATAAAGGAAGTCCCATGAAATGGTATCATAGGCCTTCCGAAGGTCAACTTTGATCATACAACGTGGTGAAACATGTTTCCTAGCATATCCTCTAACCAATTCTTGAGCAATAAACACATTATCAATCATGAACCTACCATCAACAAAAGCCCCCTGGGCAGGGTCAATCAAATTAGGTAGGCAAGGAATTAATCTCTTAGCTATGATCTTGGTAATAACCTTATAGATAACATTGGTGCATGAAATAGGTCTAAAATCTGAAGCTGTGGGTGAGTGTGTGGTCTTAGGAATCAAAGCAATGAGTGTATGGTTGAGTTGTTTAAGTAGCTTACCAGATCCAAAGAAGCCCTTGACGGCTAGTATAAATTCATGACCAACAAGGTGCCAATTGTGCTTGAAAAAGGCTGAGGTATCAAAGAGGGCCTCTTTAATCTCCAAATCAGTTATTGGAGTAACTAAGTCCTCAACAGCATCCAATGGCAGAATGTTACCCGAAGTAACAATGCTAGGATCTAACCCCGTGGTAGGATAGTGTGTGCCAAATAGCTTAGTGTAAAACTCAACAAATTCCATAGCAACTTGGTCAATTGAAGTGGTAGAATCACCATTGGGAAGTTTAAGGGCCGTAATGGTGTTTCTAGCCAGATTCTTCTTGACAATTGAATGGAAATACTTAGTACACTTATCACCTTGGATGAGATGTGTAGTTTTGGCTTTTTGTCTATAAAAATCTTCCTCATCCGACTTAAGGTTAAGGAGTTTCTTTTTAATCAGTTCAACCTCATTCCTAATGGTAACATCAAGAGGAGCATGCATAGACAACCCAAGGACCCGTTTGTACTCCTTTTTTGTTTCCTTAACCTTCTCCGAGATATGACCAAAATTCAATTTATTTAGTTCTTTAAGAGGTCTTTTTAAGGTTCTCAATTTTTGGACAAGGATGAACTGAGAGCTTCCATGAACCACTTTACCCCAATGATTGGTAAGGATGGTGTTGAAAGTCTCATGTTTAAAGTCTACGTTCTCATTTGAATAGTAAGATAACAAGAATTTTTTAAAAGTTTACAACTATATTTGAGAAATATAAATTCGATATCAATGAATTTAAACCCAAAAAAAATTAATACGGACTATTTAACAGTTAATTAAAAACGAAATCCAAGAGTAGATTAGCCTAAATTTGAGTATTTGTTTCGAAGAACACGTCCAAAAATTGTACTAAGTAAATATGGACTGAATCACACCTTTAGAGAATATTTCACCCGTTTAGCCGCTTTTTTTAGCATCCTCCCCGCATTGCCGCTTATGTAGGCATCTTCACCGCAACGCCTTTTCTCTCAGATTGTCGACACTAGGACATTCAACGAATGACAGATTGGGGTACAAGGGTGTTGCCGCCTACTGTCCCATGTTTAAGCTAGAGTCTGACAGAAGTTTTAGATGGGAGGAGTATTTCGGTGGTGTACGTGGAGGTGATTTCCGACATCAATGGTGTTGGGGGAGACCACGTGAGGAGATGAAGAACCGATAGTCCGAAGGTTGTGACGGCACTAGATGAGTGTCTAGGAGAAGAATAGTTTAAACAGGGTGTGATAGGTTTGGGTCACCAGGTTGAGAAGATTGAATATATGTTATTGGGTTGGGCTGATTAAAGTTAATTAAAATGATGAGATTTGAATCTCAGTCTGAATTGGACTGTGTGAAATGGAATCATATCATCTAGAAAGTTTATTATTATTATTAGTATTATTATTATTGTTATTATTATTATTATTTTTAACATTATCATTGTAACACCGCCCCCAAGTAGTTGTACCTTATCAAATTATGTATTGAATCCTGAGAAATGTATAAAATCATTTTTTACGTATTGTAATTTTTTATCATTTCTTTTACGTGAATAGTAAAATTCACGTGGGGCCCACACGGGAAGTGGGGCCGACCGATATTATCAGGATCACATATGATATTAATCTTGGCCTAGATAATATGTATATGGTGGTGGATATCCTAAGTGGGCCGTGGCAATGGCATAGGGGTGACCGGTTGGTCAAACGGGGCCAAATTATCAGTATCGGCAATTTATCGGATAACAGCCCGAAAAGGGATTTTGGAGACTTCTAAATTAAATTTGAGGAATACATATTCCGTATAAGGTCCAATAAGGATTGGGAACAAGTGTTATATTTTATTTGACCCGATAAAATAAAATATAATTGAAATAGTCCGGAAAATACAACTTTCGGGACCGATTGTACACTCGGGTACACAAAAGGTTGACCTCCCACATAAGTGGGGGCCAAACCACGTTTTTAGGCTTTCAAATGAAGGAGGGAGCCGCATCATGGAGCTGGAAATGGTTGGGAAGTGATTGGGACAAATATGTAAGTAGAGGGGACCCTCCCCCCATATCGTTGGGGAATAAGCCAAAAGAGCTATCTCCCTCATCCCACAACTGATATAGCTCGGCCAACCTACTCAAAGAGGATAAAGAAGGTCTGCAAAACTCCATTGTTACCATCCATACACGCACCAAGAACAAAGGAGGAAGAAGGGAGGGAAAAGAGAAGAGAAAAGTTGGTTTTGGAGAGGAAAACTTGTGTTTAACAAGGTAATGACTCCATTAATCCCATTTCTTGATTCTTCAATCCTCTTATATGATTATTCAATCATATTTCACACCCTAGTATTTTTCTACACGTTTGGAAGTGTAGAATGAGGGGTTGGAAGGTAGTTCTAAGTCCAAGAACGGACTTAGAAGCCAAAGTGACCGGTTCGCCGGAAAATAACCTTTTGGAGGTTATTTGTATTAATATGGGTTGTATGATGATAAAACCTTGTTAGTAACTTGTCTAAGGTATTCAAGGAACTTTCACGGAGTTGAAAGGGTCGCCGGAGTTGTCACCGGAGTTCGTTGAAGTTCGCCGGAGTTTCGTCGGAGCTAAATCGGGAAGGCTAGAACTTCATAAGCTTCATTAAGGTGAGAAGACGGCTATTTGCTTTATAACTTTTGCGTGAGGCATGATATTACCTAAAGTAATCAAGGATATGTTTTGTGGAATGATTAAAAGATAACCAAGTGTTTGCTTATGCCATGATTATACATAAAACATAGTTGAAAAGCATGTTATGTAGTTTTGGTGATCAAAAATGTGATAACCTATTATGTGTCATGTTCCATGGATCCAAAATGGTATTTTTGGATCAAGGATGTCAAGAAGTATATGTGTATAAAATTTCACGTTAATCGGACTCCGTTTGGGTGGTCAAACAGGCGTTGACCGCCAAGTCAACTGCCATACCCGACCGGGTATTTGTTGAAAAATTGCCCAGGAGGCAGTAGCCTCGATCGAGTATACATTGAAAATCAGCTTTGTGGGCTACTGCCTCCTGTACTCGACCGAGTATGGGTAGATACTCGATCGAGTATTGGTTTATGCTCAAAACGGGCAGTTTTGAGTAGGTTAACGTGGGCCGTTCAGGTGGGACCCGCCCACGTTGGATCCTAAGGATTGTTATATGACTATAGGGCTAGGCATTGTCCATAGTTAAAGGAATGAAAGGTTAGCCATATCCAGGTTAGGATTTGGTAGAGGATAGACTGAGGATTGAGTGCCCTTGGACGGTAAATGATCCAGAATACTCCAGGTGGGGTCGAGTACCCTTGGACGGTAAATGATCCAGAATACTCCAGGTGGGGTCGAGTACCCTTGGACGGTAAATGATCCAGAATACTCCAGGTGGGGTCGAGTACCCTTGGACGGTAAATGATCCAGCATACTCCAGGTGGGGTCGAGTACCCTTGGACGGTAAATGATCCAGAATACTCCAGGTGGGGTCGAGTACCCTTGGACGGTAAATGATCCAGAATACTCCAGGTGGGGTCGAGTACCCTTGGACGGTAAATGATCTAGAATACTCCAGGTGGGGTCGAGTACCCTTGGATGGTAAATGATCCAGAATACTCCAAGTGGGGCCGAGTACCCTTGGACGGTAAATGATCTTAAATACTCCAGGTTGGGTTGAGTGCCTTGGACGGTAAATGATCCTAAAACACTCGGTAGTATGAATCGAAGGTAGACTATAGCTTGTGAGCTAGGCAACCGGGAAAGGAGTGAGAAAAGTCAGGTAAGAACTTTATCTCTGAAAGACTCTTTAAATGAAATGACCTACGAGTGGAGTATTTTACAAATATATATATAGTATGTATCATCGGGTGGATGAGTCACATATATATATATGTATCACCCTATTTTTGGGTCTCGTGTCTGAAACATCAGTTATTCTTCATATAGTCTACTTGTCACTAGTACTTCTATGGAGTACTGACCCCTCCGGGGGCCCTCACATTTTTCAGGTTAAGGCTAGAGTCCTACTACGTGCACCTTTTCCTAGGGTGATTGATCAAGAGGAAGACGTGGTTCGTGCTTCCAATCTTATTTCAAATTTATAAAGTGCTCATGGATTTTTGAACAATGTTTTCATTAAAACAGTTGGGAGCCTGCGTGCCCGTGTTTGCCACGTGTGGCTAAGTATCAAACATATTATTATTTCCGCATTTGTTTGATTATGATATTGATGTTGATTATATGTGTTTACTAATCGGTTTGGCAAAAGAATCAATCGGACGCCTTGTGCAATTCAATAGGGATGAACTGTTGTTGTTCTTATCGGGTTGTACGGCGGTTGTCTACGTGGCTCGGATGCGGTCCGGGGCGTGACAATTAAGTGGTATCAGAGCCATCGATTTATAACCTATATAATTAACCTCTCAATATGGTTATACTCAAAAAGTTTTGAATAAAACCATGAGCAAAAGTTTTTGTACTTAAGGAACCGTTGGAAACCAAGTTATTGACCTCTTATTGTTAAGACGGTACCCTTAACAGTTTGTTGGCCAAAATGTTGGACCAAGTGGTGTCTTTTGTACTAATCCGTCAATTGACATTGAAATGAGTCTAATGACTCATTCCTGATTTCTTTCAGAAATGGAGGGTGGACGCAGGATAACTAGGAGGGACCCAACAGGGCATGTGCCGGGGGCCACCGGGCATGCCACTGGGGCGGAATCACGGACCTCTAGGGGTAGAGGCCGGGGCCAAGGCCGAGGAGGAGGCCGAGGCAGGGGTCGTGGGCGTTCTACAACGCCGATGACAGGTAGCACGCGCGTCGATTCTGTGCACCCGTCATGGGCCACCGAACCGGACGACTTCACCTATGCCCCAAGCACGAAGCAAGAGGAGACCCCGTACAACGGGGAGGACTTTGAGGAAGAAGATGAGGATGATGATCCTCATTATGACTGTATGAGTGAGGTACTAGAATGGTACCTCGAGAATAAGGCAAAGAGAGAGCAGCGGCGCCAAGCTAGACAGGCTAGGCAAGCCATGGGGCAGGGAAGCCGAGGTGCTTCTAGTGCTCCATCTGGGGCATTCGGGGGAGACACGATGGTACGTATCTCCAAATACATCAAGGAGGCTAGAGCCTTGGGGTGCAAAACATTTGATGGCAAGGGCGACATATCTGAGGCCGTCGACTGGATTAAGAAGCTGAATGATGCTTCTAGGGACATGCAATTTGGACTCGACGTGAAGTTGAGGGTTGCCACCAGGCTACTAGAAGGGGTAGCTGCTGTATGGTGGGAAGGCGTGGAAGGAAAGTTCCACGGTGAGTCCACTTGGGAGAAATTCGAAGTGGAATTCTATAATCAGTACTACTCAACTTTTGAAGTCAACCTCAAAAGAAGAGAGTACACAAACCTGAAAGAGGAGGATGGTTGCTCGGTGAGGCAATTGGAACAAAGGTTCCGTGACTTGGCACGATTCATCCCAAAATACTCTTTGGATGAAAATCGTATGGCCAATCATTTTTGGGATGCTCTACAGTTGGACATCCGTGACCGGGCTACGTATCATCATAACATGACATTTAGCTAGATCGTTGATCAAGGGCTCCTTGGGGAAGCCCAATGGAACGAGAGGAAGTTGAGGGACGCCGAGGAGGCGAAGAAGAGAAGATGGGGAAACTCTGGACCCCAAGACCACTCCCGGAAGCATCACGCTGGGGGTGGCAATTCATTCAGGGCGCCGGCACCACTGGCGAAAAGGAATAAGGGCTCAGGAGGGCAAGGGGCCAAACCAGGGAGTACGTGGTCACCGAGGTGCGCAAATTGCGGCAACAACCATGCGGGGAAGTGCAATGAACCACCCCGGTGTTACAAATGCGGTAGCACGAGCCACCTCAAATCCTCTTGCCCAATGTTGAATGGAGGCGGTCCATCGGGGGCCATTGAAGGACCTACGGCTAGTAGGGGACGTGCGGGACCGTCTCAGGCCGGCACAGGAAGGGGCGGACCCACGGCTAGCAACGCCGCGTCCGTTAACCAAGGGAGGACCCAGGCACGGGTGTATGCAATGACCGAGGCTGATGCTCGGGCCAACCCAGACTCCATTGCAGGTAATCTCTCGATTACACACGTATTTTGATCATGTATTTGGATTAAAAATCTTCAAAAAATATGAAGGACCCGATCAGGTATCCCTATAGACCTGACCGGGTATAGGCCATGCTTCGATTTTGAAGTGTGTACTCGTTCGGGCAAGCGTGGCAGAATTCTTCATTTTTG